CAGGTTTCTGGCCCTCCCTGGAGATGCACTTTGAATTGTGCTTGGAAACGTACTAGGAGCCAGTGAAGATCCCTTAGGACTACATGGAAATGATCCACATTTAACGCCAAGTAGACTAGTGAAAATATTTAAAGTTGAGACAGGCAAATGCTGGAAGTGCAAAGAGGTAGAAGGATCATTCTACCACATGTGGTGGTTGTGTAAAGTAATTAAGGAATTCTGAGAAATGATCTATAACGAACTAAAAAAAATACGTAAGAGAACATTTCCCAAGAAACCTTTATGTATGCCACTACGGCTGCCCGAACTTTGCATGCAAAAAATGGAGAACAGAAGCAGCACTGATCAGAGAGGAAGTGCATTTTAAGTTGTTGGAATATGTGGAGCTAGCAGGTCTAACTAGTAAGATAAGAGAACAAGGTGATCAAGAATATAAAAAGGATTGGAAAATGTTTGTAGAGTATTTTAAAAATTAGTGTAAACAAGTGAACAGATTAGCAGGACTTGAATAAATTCAGCAGTATGAGGATGTTAGATAAAATTAGTAAGAACTGTAGAATTGGTAACTTAGAATACTGGAAAAGGACACCAGAGAAGATGAGGAAGGGAAGTCCTTAGGTGTCTTGTGTTCTGTCCCTGTTTGGTTGTGGTTTTGTTTTCATCCCCCCCACCTTTCGACTTCTGCTTATTCTTTTGGAACTGTATGTAAAACACACACCCACACACCCCTATATATATCTTTATGTATCTATTTATACATAAGATCCTTTAGGACAGGTGTTTTATGGTCCAGGTGGCCACTGCCCAGTCACTAGTCTAGCTGCCACATTCTGGATAAGTTGTAGCTTCCGAGTCACCTTCAAAGGTAACCCCAGGTAGAGCGCATTGCAGTAGTCCAAGTAGGAGCTAACCAGAGCATGTACCCCCCTGGTAAGACAGTGAGCAGGCAGGCAGGGTCTCAGCTGGACACAAAATTAACCTGCACCTACATGGACAGCTGTGCGTCCAAAACGATTCCTAGGCTGTGCACCTGGTCCCTCAGGGGCACAGTTTCCCCATTCAGGACCAGGAAGTTCCCCCCACACCCACCCGCCCCCTGTCACCCAGTAACAGTGCTTCTGTCTTGTCGGGATTCAGCTCAGCCCTTCTACTTAGAACCAAACTTCACAGGATTCTCAGCAGCTCATTTCACACCCCAGATCTTTGAGCCAGCAACTGTGAGAGAAGGGAGGCTCTAGAGTTGATGCAAAATAGAGAACAGCAGGCAAAGATCAGGGGTCATCATGCTGGGTGTATGTGTGCATGCACTATCACATACTCCCTTCTCTGCACCCTATGGAAGTGCCTGTCCCTAACTGGGGGCAGTAACCAGTGTGATTTCTTGCACGAAAAGGGCTCCAGGCCAGACCCGGATTTGCATCTTTGCTCCTGGAAGGGAAAGTTGGAATGCAACGCCTGTGCCACCGTCTCCTCTGGGCTTTGGATCTGAGAGCTGATGTCACTGGTCTCTGCCTCTGCATGCAAAAGGCTGCCGTCATTCATGAAGCCCAGTGCCTGTAATCTCAGATGTTAGCCTTATTTATTATACAGACAAAATAACAGTGATGTATGAGTCATCCTTGCCAGGCATTGGGAAGAGAATTTCAATTACACTTCCCTGTGAAATATTCACGCATAGCAAGCTCAGCGCTGTCGCTGAAGTGCAGTCAGAGGGAAGCCAAGTGTGAGAGGCGCATGCTGAGCAGCCATCGGCCCCGATGCGGGCGAGTGCACACCAGCCAGCCACTTGCTGCCCTTGGCAGCTCAGCACTCAAGAGAGCCTAACCAAAGCCATGATTTGGCAATGGGTGGTAAGCAAGGGCAGCCCAAAATGTTTTGTTGCCAGAGGCAACGGGCAAGATGGTGCCCCTTCCCTATTTCGTGTGCAGAAGGTGGCTAGGCTGGGCTGGCAGCTGGACGCGGCTTCAACATTGGTGACAGGGCAGTGTCCTTCTCCTCCTCTTCCTCTACTACAACCGAGGGCAGGAAGGGCAGCTGAAGGCAGTGTAAGGCAGGCAGTGGCGTAGCGTGGGGGGTGCAGGGGGTGCCGGCCGCACCGGGCGCAACATCTGGGAGGGGGGCGCTCGCACTTGCAGCTCTCTGCCCCTACCTGGCTCACTCACTCTCTCTCACTGCAGTGCTGGCTGTGCGAATCCGATCCGAGCCGCTGGGTCGCTGCCCACTGTGGAGGGGGGTGGGTGCCAGGCGTGCGGTGCGGAGAGAGAGCGAGGGACTATCTGGGGGAGGGACAGTGCAGTGGCCACCCAGCGCAGTGCTGAGCGCGGGAGAGAACCACACCAGACCAGACCAGGCAGCAGCAAGAAGAAGCTGGCAGCGGCGGCAGGTTAGGGGTTAGGGGGCGCAAATTACTTGCCTTGCCCCGGGTGCTGACAACCCACGCTACGCCGCTGAAGGCAGGCACATGACACAGCTCTGCACTACAGTACCTCGCTGCCACCCTGCAGCATCTGCCACTTGAGGCAGCCATCTCATTCTGCCCAAAGGTAGGGCCGGCTCTGGCAGTAACTATAAAGAGTGATGGTGCTTTCAAAAGGGAAATGGGTAACAGCTTCCCCTTTTGTAGGGACAATGGCAGGCCATATGCAGGCAAATGGGAGGGCCATAGAAGGCAATGTATGTGCACCAAAAGGCATCTGTGCAAAAAGATGCAGCGCTGTTGGATGTAGGATGCCTCTCAGTGTTGTTCTTAGCCCTGATCTGGCACCAGACGCCCAGTCCTCAGAGAATGAACCAGTTACCCCACAGGCTGAGGACCTCGAGGTGCAGCTGGGGTCCTCTGGAAACAGTGCTGAGGATCCCTTTGAGGGCCACTCTGTGGGAGGAAGCTCACTTAGGAACATTGGGAGGTCTCAGGGGAGGAGGTTGAGCTGGTCCTTCACAATGCCAAAAAGTCCAGTTCTGGTCCTGGGCTGATGACAGAGCTTGCATCTGTGGACCTAGCATTGTTGTGGAGCTTAGGAGTAAGGGGTCTCCTTGTGAGTAAGCAACCCCTGAAACACCCTCACCACCAGCAACTGTGCTTAGGGTGTGGCCTAGGAGGCCAGAACATATAAGGTCTTCCTCTTGAGCAGCCATAGGCAAACTTGGCCCTTCAGATGTTTTGGGACTACAACTCCCATGATCCCTAGCTAACAGCACCAGTGGTCAGGTATGATGGGAATTGTAGTCCCCAAACATCTGGAGGGCTGAGTTTGCCTATGCCTGCTCTTGAGTTTTCCAGCTGCAGGAAACAGCCCAGGTCTGTGGCTTCCGTTTCTGTGCTGTCTTTTGGTTGAATTCCCTGTGATCTTGACTTTGAGGTTGAGATGCTCTGGCAGATTTTTAAAATTGAAGAAGGGCATGTAAATATAGCATCATCAGCATCAGAACTGAAGTTCAAAACTTCACATTATTTGGCCAACTGAAATGCCATACAAAATGGTGTGCAAAAGGGTTTTATGCTCCATAGACCTCTTCATCGGGTTAGAAAGCAAAGGGGCTTTGTTTAGGTAGTGTTTGGGCTGCCTGGGTAAAGATATTGGCCCAATGTGGATTTTGGACTACTGTATTTCTTGTGGGCAAGTGTGGCTTCCTTTGCTCTTCGGGTGACTTGGAAAATAATCAAGGTGCTCCTCCATTTGCCTTTGCTCACAGGTTCTGGGGTTCTGCCCCATCAGGGGCATAGTGTAAGACCTCACTTGACTGGCTGCTGATGGCTGCTTCCAGAGGCAGCTTTAGCTCCATTCTCAAGGAGGCAATGAGAGCCCCCCTTCCCCAGCCTTTGGCTTTGATAGGGTTGCCATAAAAAGAGCAAAAAAAGAGGAAAGCCCCAGCCACTGCCCGCCCAAGGTGGGGAAAGAAGCTCATAGAGTTGGGTATGTGGGGCTGCCACAGTGGCGCTCACATACTTCTTTTCCAGGCCAAGCTGGCAGCTCCGCAACAGGCAGAGCCGACTGAGCCCGAGCTGTATACAATTAAAAAACTTGGACATTTCCTTTAAAATGTAAAAATCTACCCCAATGGGCATGTTGGGCCCCCAGAAGAGAACATGTCCAGGTTTTCCTGCAGGTATCAGCAACCTTAGCTTTGCAGGGGCTGTGATGGGGACAAGTTTTAAGATCAAGACATGTGTGCAGCTCTTTTCCAGCTCAACACCCGCAGGGCTTCTTGGGGGCATCACTACCAGAAGCCCCCCGAGACCCGAGCAATGCTGCAGGAAGCCCAGCCCAGCCAGACAGCAAAAGTTTGTTATGCTAAGTTATGGTTTTGCTTAAATTTTGCATGGGGCCCAGAGGACTCACAAGTACAAATAGATGAATAATTTATCCTCATGCTCTACAAATATTGGGCAGGGATGACAAACTCCCCATTAGTGGTGGGAGCTGTTGCTGATCTACCAGACTACAAGTAACAGAGGGGGGTGGGGTTGGAGACATAAGACACCCAGGTAGGGTTGAGGTTTCCTCTGGGCAAGGAAAAGGCAGTGAGGAGTTCTTGAGCTGCCCAAATTTGCTGGCACCAATGCACGGGGGTGGAAGTCCTGCCCTCTCCTGGCTTAGAAACTGGGCTTAGGAGATGCGAGGTGGGAAGATGCCTCCAGACAGAGATTGCTGACAATCACAATCAGCAGCAGCAGCAATCACCCCAAGAGGAAAATGAGGACTGATTCCCAGTTCTCTGCTGATGGGAAGAGCCCTTCTCCAGAGCTAATCAGGTTTCCACCATGTGGCAGGAGGAAGATGGTTTTATGGTAGTGTTTGGGGGCTGCCTGGGTAGAGTTCTGGGGAGGAGGGACGCAGCCTCATGGCAAATGACCACCTATGCCCCCTGCTTTCTGCACAGGAACATAAGAAGTTGTGTCCTACTGAGTCAGACTACTGGTCCATCTAACTCAATATTATCTCTGCTGACTGGAAGCAGTGGCTCTCCAAGGGTTCAGACCAGGAGTCTTTTCCCAGCCCTATCTGCAGATAAGGTATTGAACCTGAGACCTTCTGCAGGCAATGCAGGTGCTCTCCCACTGAGCTATGAGGATGAGAGGGCTATCAATGGCTGCTAACCAGGATGGCTATGCTCTGCCTCCACAGTCAGAAGAAGCAATGTTTCTGAATACCAGTTGCTGGAAACCAAGGGAGGGGAGAGGGCTCTTGTGCTGGGGTCCTGCTTGCAGGCTTCCCATAGGTTGGCCACAGTGAGTACAGGATGTTGGACTAGATACTTCAGTGAATAACCGATGAACGCTCACATGCCCCATAAGGGATTGTTCATCAATACACGCAAACAGCTGGGCTCTTCCTGGGAATTAGCAGCTTCCTCTGTATGTTGTGGCCATTGGGGGCCATCCATCTTCAGGTGAGACTCTCTCTTCTTCCTGCAGGAACTTGGTCCAGCCCTCACTGGGTGCTTATCAACACTTACCTTTTGTCCGGCTCTGTCCAAACACAGGTCTGCACTTTAAAGCTCTGTGCCTGAGTTTCCAACTCCCCAACTCTTTTTTTTTTTTGCTCTGAATGTCCATTCTTTAAAGCTGAATCAGAGCAAACAGCAATAGGGGTTTTCTGAAGATTGCTGTTTGCTCTGATTCAGCTTTAAAGAGCAGGTTTTCATGGGGAACGTTCTGGGGTGCTCTGAGCTTTAAAACATAGACAGTGCCTGGAAGGCATCCCCCATCAAGCAATCTTTGGCCATACTGCTTGGAAAGAGCTGACAATCACAGTCAGCAGGACTCCCTGGCTTGTTTGAGGCTGTTGCAAGGGAGAGGAGGAGATGGGTGCCAAAGGCTAGAGAAGGCACAAAGCAAGCCCACCGCCCAACTGCTAGGTTGTATCTCCCCATTGGTACAGGCCCACTAGCTTTGAAAGAAAGCCTGGATGTTGCTGAAGACCCCAGCCACAGTTTGGCCCGTGGCCATGTGGGAATATTCAGGGAGGCAGGAGAAGATATTTTGTTTATTAATATCCTTCCTAACTTGCACTAGCAAGTTCTATAACTTAGCAGAGTTTTACATTCCCCTTTGAAACGCACAGCAGATATCTGGTTGCAGGCTTGCTTAAGCCTCTCAATATTAGATTCCTGGTAAGTTCCCTTATATCCCTCTTAAAAGAATAAACACACCACAATCTTGTGTATATAAAAGAAGTTTACTCACATCATCAGTTCACAGGTGGATACCTGAAGGTAGACTTAGTTACAAGGTATATACATGTGGATCTATCCCACATGGAGATAGTCCCAGTGTCTGTTGGCCGAGAGCCAACAGATCAATTCTAGCTAAAAGCTGCTGCTCCAACGATGGGGGAAGTCAAAGAAAGAGGAGTGGCAGCATGCCTTGACCTTTTGTTACCTGGAAAGGTAAGGTCACGCCCACCTCTAGTCACATGCAAAAGGAAGTATGTCCCAGCCAGGAGGAAACAGGAAGTTTTTGACTGGTTGGACCAAACATTCTCCCATGTGTCCACTCTAGGAAAACAAGGAATGTTGTACTTGACTGCTACTCATGTATCACATCCCACAGGTCAAACCAGAGTGTTTCATATATGCCAAAGCCCTGGGAAACTCTAGATAGCCTCCTGCTCTTTCTACCCTTGATGGATGGATGGATTTCAATTCCCCATTTTTCAAGCTTCAGTTCAATTCTCCACATTTCTTCATCACTTTGCAATTTTTAACCTAAGAAAACAACAACCCACACACCCTCTAAAAAGCACTTTAGCGCATACCTATTCTAATATATACATGCTTGCAGGAAACAATGCATTCGGCTATGTTATTTTTGACAGATATATGCATTTTTATCTACACTTTCCCTTAACACACTGGTATTTGTGCACATTATTTGGTTGGAGAACTGCATTGCCAGATTTGAAAAGGCACACATTTTGATGGGTTTTGATACATTTGGAGTTGCATCCTGCTTTGGGAAGTGCAAATTTGGTAAAATAAGAACTGGACTCAATTTCTCCATCCCCTCCCCCAAGCAGTTGGAAAGGGCCAATGCTTTTTTCTGGGGGGACGCAGGGGAACAAATACCCCTAAAACATTTTGTTAATCTTTGTATTTCTGTCCACTTACTGTATTTATTTTTCCCCATTTGAACTATAAAATGGTGATTTTCTTGAGTCAAAATGAGAGTACCCCTAAACATTCTTTTGCCGGGGGGGCACTGGAAAGGGCTACCTGGGAGCTGCTGTCCTCAGCCAGGTGGGGAAGACCCCCTTTCACAACTGCTCAGGGTGGCTGGTTAAACCAAGCTGGAAGTCTGGTGGCAACGACAACATCTCTTCTTTGGGGGAGCCAGGCTGCTGTTTTGACCCCCCTCATCCCTGTGTGTTAATGGTGTGAAAGTTTCTAGCCCACACTGTTCCCTCACAGGTCTGTCAGGGACCAGGGCTATGCTGAGTACAGTGGTACTTCGGGCTACATACACTTCAGGTTACAGACGCTTCAGGTTACAGACTCTGTTAACCCAGAAATAGTACCTCGGGTTAAGAACTTTGCTTCAGAATGAGAACAGAAATCGTGCTCCGGCAGCGTGGCAGCAGCAGGAGGCCCCATTAGCTAAAGTGGTGCTTCAGGTTAAGTACAGTTTCAGGTTAAGAACGGACCTCCGGAACAATTAAGTACTTAACCCGAGGTACCACTGTACCTCCGACCCTTATCCTTGGGGTGTCCCAGGAGAGGAATCTTCCCAAATGCAAGCCCCTGTCATGCAAAGAGAGGAGCTACAGACCAGCTGTCCCGCTGCTAACCAGCATCGCCAGCCCAGTATAACAACAGCGACACCTAGTGACTCCTTTCTGACCAGATGAGCACTGCAGCCAGGAAGGGATGATGATGATGTTCAGGCACTAGGAAGCAGGGACACTCTTCTTCCTTTCCCTAGGGAAATGAAGTGCCTTTTGGGGAGAAGAAAATGAAATGGGAATGGGGGAGAGTAGGGCAGAGCACACATGCACACAGCTCCATCACTCAACCATTTCACCCTCCAGAAAGTTCAAAAATCTCATTGAGCATGTTCTGGAGATTCCTTGCCTTGAGTGTCTCATCTGGGGCCTGGGTGCTCTTCCAGGTTAAACTGATGGCACATACACAGGACTGGGACAGAAGGCATTTGGGGAAATGTCATTCAGATCCAGAGAGCAAAGCAAGCTCACAAGCCTTCCTTAAAGCTTGTGAATTGAAGCATTTAATTGCAAGTGGGAAGAGTCCTGTTGTTCTCATACCCTGCTTGCTTGCTTGATTTCTTTATTTCTTTTATAATATTTATAGAAAAATAAAAGGTAAGTAATTACAAGTGCACAGAGTAAGATAAGACACAAAGAAGAAGAAATAGTACCCATGTAGAAACCAAAACAGAACCCCCCCAAAAAGGAATTTTATTTTATTAAAATCATTTTTATTTGATTTTACAAATATAAATTTATAACAATCCAAATGCACATCCATATATAGAGATTACTCTGAATCTCAGGACTTCCCCCCATCCCCTCTGTGGGTCCTATTGTCAACATTGGCTACTGCATATTATTCCATAATCTGTATTTTGTATTCATCTGTATTATAGTATTTGTTACATTATAAGTGAGATTAAAATCCTGCTAATGTTTTCATCTGCTTGCAGTGGTCTCTTAAATAAATTATAAATGATGATATATGATGATAAAAAGAAATTTTATACAACAAGAAAAAGTAAAAATAAAATAAAAATGTTATTGTAGTTAACCACACTTTAACCTAATAAGGTATTGATAAAAATGAATTCGGGATTCATTTTTACACCCTGCTTTTTTTACAGAAGTATTTATATATCACTATCTCATAAAATAGCAGAGTGGTGTACAACCATATGTAAAGAATAAAACACGAGAAACTATTAAAAACAGTGCAAAATAAACTTCTAAATGTCTGGCTAATCAAAAGGATTTTGAACAGCTGCATAAGCCTGCCAACATAAAGTCGTCAAGAAATACCTTGATGCCTCTAATGAATCTCTGCTGGGAGAGAGTCTTCCATCCACAGCCTGGGACCAGCAACATTAAATGCCAGACTTCTGGATGAGGCCATTTGGGGGACAACTGACAGAAGCCCTAGGGTGAGCTCACTGCTTGTGGGTTTCCCATTGGGGCATCTGGTTAGCTATTGGAAGGAAATGATGTTGGACTAGATGGGCCCCTTTGGGCCTGATCCAGCAGAGCTCTTCTTGTTTTCTTATTCACATAAAAAGTCACGCATTTCATCGCCTAAGTGTGGTCCTATTCATATCTTGTTGTTGTTGTTTAGTCTTGTCCGACTCTTCGTGACCCCATGGACCAGAGCACGCCAGGCACTTCTGTCTTCCACTGCCTCCCGGTTTGGTCAAACTCATGCTGGTAGCTTCGAGAACACTATCCAACCATCTCGTCCTCTGTCGTCCCCTTCTCCTTGTGCCCTCCATCTTTCCCAACATCAGGATCTTTTCCAGTGAGTCTTCTCTTCTCATGAGGTGGCCAAAGTATTGGAGCCTCAGCTTCACGATCTGTCCTTCCAGTGAGCACTCAGGGCTGATTTCCTTCATAATGGATAGGTTTGATCTCTTGCAGTCCATGGGACTCTCAAGAGTCTCCTCCAGCACCATAATTCAAAAACCCTTCATGGATCACTGCCTTGCCATGGCGAAGGGGCTTGAATAACTCAGAGAAGCTATGAGCTATGCCATGCAGGGCCACCTAAGATGGACAGGTCATAGTGGAGAGTTTTGACCAAAAGTGATACACCTGGAGCAGGAACCGGCAAGCCACTCCAGTATCCCTGCCAAGAAAACTCCATGGACAAAGACAACAGGCATATTCATATCTTACTCCCCAGCAAATAAAGGTGTGGTCTGTGTGTGGACCACAGTTCTCTGCCTGCTTCCAAAACATTAGGTAGGGGAATTAATCCTGGCCTCTTAACAAGACTTTGGTGGCATTCAAATGGTCCAACAGTGGCGAGGAACCAGTTGGCGGATGGGTGTGGTGTTTGGGGGCAAGATCCAGGTGCCACCCCCATGAGAAATGTGCTTAACTGTGCTGGACCCTGGCATCAGGTTTCCCTTTATTATTATTTATTACAAAATTAATTTTAAGAAAAATCATAAAGCATAAGAGTGAACCAATTCAGTCAATACAAAACAGTTTACAACATATAAAGCAGGGCCAGTGATTGTTACAAATAAATCATATGCTATTACATCGCAAACTGGAAGAACTGGGCAGTCAGGTGCAAAGAATGGAGCCTGTTGAAAAATTCAAATCAATAAGCATCTTCCTTGTGCATTCCAGGCTGACCTTTTACTCCTGCCCAAATCAGAAATTATTACTATCGCTACGCATCAAAATATGCTGCTGTTGGGTGTTTGCTTACCATTTTAAATATTAGGGCTGTGCACAGGCTCCCCCATCTTTTTCTGTGGCCCCGATCTTACCTGCCCCAAACAGGCTGATCATTCCCATAAACATATGGTGGGGGTGGGAGGGAGAAGATGCTGCAGTCTCCTCCCCTGTCAACTGATTGCTGGAGGGTTTGATCCTGCAGGGTACTGTGCATTTGTAAGCACCTTCCCTGCAGGGAAACCCCTTGCAAAACAACCGAAACCTGTACTGCTCAGGATCAAATCCTCCACTTCTGCTGCCCTTTTTTTTTTTAAAAAAAAAAGTGAAGTATTTCCATGAAACTAAACAGGGAATGCAGAGGTGCCTTTTGGAAAAGTCCCTGCATGGGTATCTCTACATCACAATGCGTGTTTAGGAGATATAGAAGTGTGTTTTAGATATCAGGGTCATATTTGCCTCATCAGCGTGGTGAGAGTAAGTTTGAATGTCTTGTATGACTGATAATTGGGGTCTGGATCTTATTGGCCATCCAGGTTGAACTCCCAGGGTACTGCGTATTGAACCCCAATATTTTTCCCAACAATCTGGTCCAATCCCCTGAAAAACAGGAATCACAGTGAAAGAATCCCTGGCAGATGGCCTCACATGCTCTGTTTAAAAACCACTGGTGAAGGAGAGTCCATCACCTTCTGAAAGAGTCTGTTCCACTGTCAAATGGCTCTTTCCATCAGAAAGTTCTTCATAAGGTTTAGCCAGAATCTCTTTCTTGTCATTTGAACCCATTGGTTCAGGTCTTCACAGCAGCAGAAAACAAGCTTGTGCCAGCTCCATCTTCTGTGTGGCAACCCTTCAGATACTTGAAGGTGGCTCTCATACGACTTCTCAGTCTTCTCTTCTCCAGGCTAAACATATCCAACTCCTTCAACCATTCCTCATGGCTGTGCTGGCTGGCGGTAGTTGGAGTCCAATAGTGCTGGAGGCCACCAGCTTGACGAAGGCTGAGTTCGACACAGGCAAGGAAAACAAAAGAAGAAAAAGCAAAGCTGAAAGGGAAACTGCCTTATCCCAACCAAGCCAGACCATTTGTCCATCTAGCTGAGGATTGTCCTAGACAGTGACTGGTAAATAGCAGTTCTCCAGTGTTCTCAGGTGGGGAGTCTTTCCCAGCCCTAACTGAAGGTGCTGCTGGGAACTGAACCCATGGCTTTCTGAATGAAAAACAAGTGATCTACCACTAAGCTACAAAGGCTCTTCTTCAGAGGGAAGGCTGCTGGATCTGCTTTGTGAGTGATGCTACAAACATGGCTCTTGGGGTGGTTTGCGAAGTGATTACAGTTTGTATTATTATTATTATTACTACATTATTTCAACATATAACAACAACATGCAGATAAGTAATGAAATATCCCACCCCAAACCAGAAACTGGTGTTTAGGCAGCACATGCCAAACAACAACTAAAGACCACAGTAAGTTCTTGTCCCAGACTACCATTTGTAAGGAAGGCAACAAACAGCTGATGCTAACCAAAATGTTTTATGATGTATGTAATATAAGATAATTAGAAGTCACTTGAAATTATCAAATAGGCTTAGGATTAGAATAAGAAGGAGTTAATTTTATTAGAAAGAGGATTTTGGAAAACTGTTACAAGGTGATACAAGGAAATTCAGTTAGGGTGATTCAAGGAAGTCAGATAACAATGAAAGATAAAATGGATTCTAGAAGTAATAAGTGTTTATCTTTTCCTTTTTATTTTCTTTCAGTATTGTAATGTCTTTTCTTTTGTATGTATTATATGTTATATTTGTCATAAATGTGGAAAATCAATAAAACTTTTTTTGGGGAAAAAAGTTTTATGATGTGAGGGGAGGCCTCTATTTTGATGTTTCAACCATGTACATAAGCAAATGGTGCCAATCGGTCACAAAAGAGTATTTGTGCTTCAAAGCTTGTGCCAATTTTATCTTATTATTTAGTTTTTCCACAAGTGCTATTTGCTGTACTGCTGCCTGTCATGAAGTGATGCTGGACTCAGGCCCACCTGGTTGGTTGGCCGACCACCCAAGAGCCACTGCCCACCTCTTCAGCTCGTACTTCACAGGTTGCAAGGCTGAGTGAGAGAATGCCAGTGTGGTGTAGTGGTTAAGAGCGGTGGTCTCATAATCTGGGGAACCAGGTTCGCATCTCCGCTCCTCCACAAGCAGCTGCTGGGTGACCTTGGGCCAGTCACACTTCTTTGAAGTCTCTCAGCCCCACTCACCTCACAGAGTGTTTGTTGTGGGGGAGGAAGGGAATGGAGAATGTTAGCCGCTTTGAGACTCCTTAAAAGGGAGTGAAAGGCGGGATATCAAATCCAAACTCTTCTTCTTCTTCTGAGTGAGTGCTGAGAACAGATCGGAGCTCGGTTTCGCTTGGATTAATGCCAGTCATCATCATTCCCAGCCCCATGAAAGGGCCTTTTAGCCGTTGCTGCCTGACCCCACTTTCCAGCTCAGCACGTTCCCTTCAGCCCAGACAACTGAGGGCTGCTGAGACTTAATTACCACAGCAGGGGGCGCTATTGTCATGCAAGACACAGCCACAGAAGCAACACACGAGCCACTGGGAGCAGGCACCCAAAGAGGCTTGCTTGGCTAAGAGAGGCTCACTGCCAGCTCTCTCTGATGCAAGGGCCTTCAAAAATCATCTCTGGGTGCCATAGGCACCAACTCTGTGGGGCTGAGGACAACTCACTCCCCTTCCAAGTATGTTGAGATGGGGCTGAGCCCTTCAATCTTGAGGGGCTGAGCCTTCCCATGGTGGTGACAGGTCTTGGCAGATCTCGCAGCTGCAGCAGCAGGCCTTGCTGGGCCTCCCCACGGTTGTGGCGGCCTCATTAGGCCTCATTGTGGCAGCAGCAGGCCTCCTCATGTCTCCCTGTGACCTCACTACTCTCTGGCTTTGTTGGAGTAGAAGACTGGTGGAACAGGCTGGACCCCTTTAATGAAAATGCACCTTCCAGGGTTTGAAGAGTTAGCAATTGGAATGCAGCAGCTGCTGTAACTATACATAGGCTTCAATGTGCCTAATCCTCTTTTGAAACCATCTAAGCCATCTACTTCCTGTGGCAGTGAGTTCCATAGTATAATTATGCTCTGTGTGAAGAAGTGCTTCCTTTTATCTGTCCTGAATCTCCCAATATTCAGCTTCATTGGATGTTCATGACTTCTGATGCTTTGAAAGAGGGAGGAAAAAATTTCTCCATGCTAGGCATAAATGTATAAGCTTCTGCCATGCCTCCTCTTCCTCGCCTTTTTGAATATTGTGCCAGGGCTGACTCCACTAGAGATCAGTGTCATCAGCTCAGCAGGCAGGGCCTTAAAGGTCCCACCATTTCCCAAGAAGGGAATTCGAAAACTTAGGCCTGGCAAGGAGAGTGGGTGGCTGGGTATGCAAAATGGATAGGCGTCAAGGTTTTTATTTTATGCATCTATGAAAACCATTTATATGCCACCTTTTATTCAAAAACATCAAGGTGGTTTACAACCATCTAAAATACAAATCCATTAAAATTTGTACCTTAAAATGACAAATGCAGTGAATAAACATTTCCCGCCAGCAGCATCAGTGCAGAAGTTGCCACTAGTGGGCACCAAAACCAAGAATGAATGAATTAGTTTCTAACCACCAGCAGAAGTACATTCCTGATGGTGCTTGCCTCACTTCAGGGGGGAGGCCTTTCAACAGGGCAGATGCTACATCAGGAAAGCCCCCCTCTCCCACTGCCTGGTGGGTTTCTGCAGGCTGCAGTGCAACCAGGAGAGCCTAACTGGCAGCCTCATGGCTGGGCAGGATCAAGGCTTCCACCAACTCTAACCACTCAGCAGAGGCAACAGGTATATGGGGTGCGAGGGGCTTCAGCCCCCTCAATACTTTGAGGCAAAGGGCTGAGCTCTCCCAATATTGAGGGGGCTGCCATCCCCTGCCACCCCTGGGTGAGAGCAGGCACGCCGGGTGGAAGGCTTAGAGGGTGATTTTCACCCTCCGTGCTGGCTGCTGCGATCACCAGTGTGCCAGGCTGGGCAGGAGGCTTGGAGAGCAGGTCATTGTGTATGTGACATCCTGCATGCATGACAGCCCCGCCCCCCATGTGGGGCCCAACTCAGCCTGCCTGCCACCCAGTTGCAAGTGCTGCCTGTTCCAGCCACTGGCCTTGAACTCCTCACACTTCTGAGGTCTTTCTGATGTCTCTATTGAGTACTGGGTAACCCTCCATCACCCAGAGAGGCAAAGATTTATGAATCACCATAGACAGAGATGTTCTGAGGTGATGAAATAGATAACCCTCCCATAACGGAGATCTAACTCACTTAATAATAATGTTATCTGGTGAACATGTCAAAAAATGTGCCCTGCTCTGCAGACATCAACTAGGACAGGGGTAGGCAACCTAAGGCCCGTGTGCCGGATGCGGCCCAATTGCCTTCTCAATCCAGTCCAGGAATCAGCATGTTTATACATGAGTAGAATGTGTCCTTTTATTTAAAATGCATCTCTGGGTTGTTTGTGGGGCCTGCCTGGTGTTTTTACATGAGCAGAATGTGTGCTTTTATTAAAATGCATCTCTGGGTTATTAGTGGGGCATAGGAATTCGTTCATTCCCACCCCACAAAAAATATAGTCCAGCCCACCACATGGTCTGAGGGACAGTGGACTGGCCCATGGCTGAAAAAGGTTGCTGACCCCTGAACTAGGACATGATCACCAGAAAATAATCCTATAAACATTCCCAGGAGAAATAACATCACCAGCATTGGAAGGATGACAAATTTGGGGCCAGGTAGGTCTCCTGCAGGGGGACATAGCTGAAAAGGCCCCCTTCCTTGTTGCCATGCTCTAGACTTCTTTTGGAGGGTGGCACACAGAGGAATGCTTCTCTCCCCCTTCACCACTGGTGGTGTCTCTTCCACTGGTCCTGGGCCTTTCCAGAGTGTGTGGCAGGCAGAAATGAAAGAGCAGGACAGAACGGTCCAAAAGAGGTGGTCAAAAAAGGCACACAGACTTCTGCCAAAGAAAGGCAATCAGGCAATGAAGAAGGCAAAAATAATCTGAGGAGCCTCTGGCGAAAAATAAACAAGTCTGCCCGATAGGGTTGGGAAGGACTTCACAGGCCAGCGAGTTCAGCATCCTCTGCTGATGCAGGAAAGATGCTTCAATGGCATTATAATGTAAGTGACCAATAAAAAAACTATCTATCAGAAGCAAGACACCAGTTAGGGCAATGGCTGGACCGTTGGTCAGCAAGGGAACTAAAGGTATGTGGAAGGAGGCAAAGCAGTTCACAGAGAATGTGAATGAATTCTTTGGGTGTCTTGTCTTCACAGTGGAAGATGAAGTCTGAAGCCCACATGGAGAGAGCTCTGCTGCTAGTGCACTCAGGAAAGCCTGTTGTGAGCTCCCCATTGGGGCATCTGGTTGACTAGGGTGCTGGGCTTGAGACCCCCCACCCCACTTTGGCCTGATTCAGCATCTGGGCTCTTCTGATGTTTTTCAGGGCAGTGGTCCTGAGCAAGGAGGAGAGGGGAGGTGACACCAGTCACCTGTCTCCCATTCCTCCATTTAGCTCTTGCAATCTGCTCCATGTGACAGAAAGCAGCTGGGTTCATGAAAAAGTCAGCACTCTTCCCCTCACTTGCAGCTCCCCTGAATGACCCATTTATTCAGCATGCACCCAGATTTACTTGCACAAAACTGGCTAGACTATGCCTGGTCTTTCTTGAGCATGCATTCTGATTTATTTTATGGGGCATTGATATGATAATGTGCATTATTCTGCTTTGATCCTGATTTGCTTGGGGAATATTTTTTCGATGCATTCCCTCATCAGTTTACAAACTGCAAAAAGTCTTCTTCTTTTTTTCAAAGGTGGATTTGTTGCCCCAGGGCAAAAGAGGACTTCAGCCTGAAGTTCTGGTGTGCGTGTGAATCCTTTCTGTTTCCTGGGGACCATCTGGAGGCTCCCACCGTCCCATTACACAGCTTCTGCATATCTGTGATAATTGGAGTGTTGCTCCATGAAGGAGGTGCCCTGGGCTCTGTTCCCATTGCCACCCCACTTTTCCTTCTTTGTTTGCTTTTGCAGGGGCTGGGCCTCACCCCATCCAGTAGGCAGGCTTGAAGAACCTAAGAAGAGCCTGTTGGATCAGGCCATCTAGTCCAGCATTGTGTTTTAACAGGGGTCGACCAGATGCCTTAATGGGAAACCTGC